TCCCCTTGGCCTGGTTCCTGGGCCTGTTGGTACAGCGCAGTGGTTAGGTTAGAGCAGCGGAGGGTGAGGGAAAGGGGAAAGGGCAGTAAGGGCGGGGAAGGAATCACTGACCCAGCCATGGTGGACCAAAAGAAACGGAACAAACCAATGGCTCAAGAATTTCAAGAACAAAAGTTGAGACTCTGGGACTATGAGAAGACAGATGCACCTGTGGTTGAATGAAGGAAGAGCGGAAAAGAGATGATCAACTCTTAAAGAGAAGGAATGTGCCACAAGAAGTTGTCTGTGAGTACTCTGATATAGTTATCAGATATGGACGGTGATTATAGAGTGTAAAATGCCTTCTGGGAAGCTATTGTTCAAAGTGCTTCCAGTGATAACCAAGGGATGCAACTACGTGCAGGTCAAGCTGATAGGAAGCTTTTTGCACAATGATCGAATGCCCCCAATTGATGACCTAATAGAATCAGAATATTGCCTCTTTTTGTCCATTGTCTCGATGAGATTCCAACCCTTCTTTACAGTTTGAAGCTGCATGGACTTTGACAAACATTGTGTCTGGAACCTTTGACAAACGCAAGCAGTCGTTCAATGCTGTACCACTCTTCCTAAGGCTTTTCCATTCCCCCCATCAAAATGCTTGCGAGCAAGCACGGACTGCTTTGGGAGATGTTCTGGGTGATGGATTCTGGTGTAAGAGATTATGTCCTAAGCCTGGGAGTTGAGAAACCCTTACTTTCTTTCACAAGTCCTTCTATTCCTATAACATTCTTAAGAAACGTTGTTTGGGTTCGAGTCAATTTACGTAGCCACAAGGACGCACCGTCCACAATGAGAGCTATGTAAGAGATTCTCCCAGCTCTTTGTGTTTGAATTTATCAAGCAGATGCAAATAAATCGGTGGAGACTGTCTGGGTCCTCTCTCACCCTACTGATGCTGGCAATGAACTGATGCAGATGGTCATAGATTCTGGAAGAGTTCCTCATTTGGTTGCTCTGCTCAGCTACAGGAAGTGAAAGTTAAGACTGCTACACGTCAAGCTGCAGGCAACATTGTTACTGTAACTGAGGAGCAGACACAAGTAAGTATCGGATTGAGATATGCTTTCACATCTTCCAGCACTTTGGACACATCCCAAAGAGAAAATTACTAAAGAAGCAGTCTGGTTCCTCATAACCGCAGGACATCAACAATAGATGTGGCATCAACAATTGATGGTAACCTTTTGGATAAGGGGGACTTTGGTACCCAGAAAGAAGCTGGCTGGGCCATCAGTAATTCAACAATTAGTGGAAGGAAAGACCGAGTGGCGTACGTTATCCAAACAAATGTCGTTCCACCTTTTTGCACCTTGTTGACTGTAATAGATCCACAAGTGGTGCAGGGCATACTTGATGGATGTAGAAAATGTATTAAAAATGGCTGAAGGTGAGGCAGAAACCATAGCCAATCTTTTAGAAGAATGCAGAGGACTGGAGAGAATCAAACAATCTGAAGATCATGACAATGAAAACATCTACAAACAGGTCTATGAGATCATTGATTAGTTCTTCTCTTCAAATGATATTGATGAGATCCTAGCCTTGGATCCGAGGCAATACAAGGTGGAACCTTTCATTTGGTTTCAATTAATTTGTCAATGTCCAAATGGAAGGGTCCTGGTTTTAGGAAGACATTCTGGAAGCTAGTTCCATGCAGCACTGGTATATGTAGACAGTGATACTTCGGTTGTCAAGTGGCTCCACGTTTGGAT